GGAGGGTAGACGAAAGAGGGGGAGGCCTTCAACGAGATGGATTGATAACGGTGGCTGCAATGATGGGCTCAAGTATAGCAGGGATTGTGGGGCTGGCACGGGATCGGCCAGTGTTTCATTCTGCTGTGCATGGGGTCGCTATGAGTCGGAAATGACTCGACGGCACTTAACAACAACAACAATAACATGCAAGGTGTTAACACCAGGGAAATTAGGCAAAGGGTACACACACACACACACACACAAAAGGGAATTCTGGTGGTGTAGCGCGTAAGGCATCTGACTGCTTACTAGAAGACTGGAGGTTCAAACCCATCAGCCACTCATTGGAAGGAAGACTGGGCCAATCTACTTCTGTAGAGATACTGCCTTGGAAACTCAAGGAGGGATCGCTATGAGTCAGAATCGACACAGGACCTCACTATACATATTCTTGCAACTTCCTTTGAATCTATGATTATTTCAAGATGGACAGATGGACAGACCAATCTGACGCACTGGTGGTATATTTAGTAAAAACCAGGGCTTCAAACTGGTTCATTCATTTCAACCCCCCACTGAGAATTTATTTATTAAATAAATATCAGAATCTACATTGATATATTGATATATCACCTGGGGATCTTATTCAATGCAGATTCTGATTCAGTGTATCTGGGATAGCAACAAAAACTCTCAACAGGGCATCTAACTAGAACAAACCAGTTTAAAGCCTTGGATTAAACACATCCCTAACCCTTCCCAAAACAAACTAGATAAATTATCATGCCTCCTTCAAAGAGGACTTCAAAATCCTAAGGATGATCACTTTTTATCATTGTTAACATCCAAGAAAAAATACAGAGATTTTTGCAAGTCTTACTTTCTATTACTTTGCCGTCCCTGTGCCCTCACCCTAGAGTAAAATTTGCGTTCTCAGTTGGTCTTGTTTCCAGGTCCATGTAATCAAGTAAAGCAGGTGAAGTGGGACCACATTTTCACCCCCTGTTGTTGTTGTTATGTTGAGCCAGACCAACTCATAGTGACCCCTCCTTGGGTTTCCGAGGCAATATCACTACGGAAGTAGATTGTCTCATCTTCCTTCCGGAAGTGGCTGGTGAGTTTGAACCACCAGTCTTCTGGTTAGCAGTCAAGTGCCTTAGGCACTATGCTCCAGAGCTCCTTTTTCACCCCCTAGAGCCCAACTAAAGAGCACAATGCATTCAGAGCGCCAATGGCTAGGGGAGAAGAGTAGCCACACCATTTACTTTCCACACCGGCTGCTCTTCCTTTGCCCTCTGAGGTCAAGAAATACCCAGCAGCCTGGTAACTGCCTCTTGATTGCATGACTGTAGCTAAGGAACAGGCTCAAGAGTCAAGAAAGCCTGTGATTTTTTTCCCCAAGAATAAGCATTTCTGCCTTTTGGTCCTGAGACCAAAAACTAAGTGAATTGAGAAACCACACTGAATCCTACATCTCATCAACAGAACCCTTCCCAACAGCCCTTGCTGCCAGAGTTGAAACCAGAACTCTGATTTGCAGCCAATCTCCCTCCCAAATCAATGCTTAAGACCTTGTAAGAGCTGAGAGATCCCTGATAAGGAAGGTAGGCAAGGGCATGTTTTCCAGGGTGCCAGCTGCACCAGGTTCTCTCTCCATAATCAACATTTGCTCTGGGTCCTGACTGTGCCCCAAGCTACAGCAGAGGTCTCTGCATAAAAACAGTGCACCAGAGACATTACTGAGAAGCCAGTAAGTAAGTAGGAAGACTGGGTTTGTTCTAAAGACTTTGTTTGGGTTTGTTGGGTTTGTTTTTTGTTCTAAAGACTCACCATCCATTCTTCATTTTACCTGAATATATGGATTTTGCATAATTATTTTTAAAGCAATCCTACAAATACTTTTATCATGCATTTGCCCAACACTGATTTTTAGGCGAGGAAAGTATGCTCATAGAAAGATGACTGAAAGGAAATGCACCAAAGCACCAACAATGGTTATAATAAAGTGGTTGAAGTATAAGAATTTTACTTTTTCTCTATACTTCCCTATATTTTTTTAAGGGATTACATATTTCACATTTATAATCAGAGCCAGGCCTAGAGGAAGACCTCTACAGAGAAGACAAACCTCATTTAGATTCTATTTGGGATACACTCTGGCTGACTACCAACAGCTGTGTCCGCAAGGGCAGCAGAGGCTACAGATACCCTGAGGAAAGAAGTTGAACTCTCAGGACTTCTTCCAAATGCTTTGCAAAATTCCAAAAAATTATACATCAAGTCTGACAGTAAACAAATCATGAAGTGTTTTTGATAAAGGGGCAAAGAATGCAGGCTCCGGCTACATCATTTCTCAATGAGGCACTGGCAACATGCCAACAGCAGGAATGGCGACTTTAGTATGAAGGTGTCAATCACTCCACTAACAGAGATAACACTTCATAAATAACTAAACTCAACTATCTTATTTAAGTAACATTAAGTTGAAAAAAATGATTCACTATAAATTAAAATTTGCTGCTACTTCACCATTCTTAAAAACAATATTTAACTGGAAAGCATCTCATTTTACAGAGTTGTACACCATGACAGAATCACTATGATGCAATGTAACAGTCCATATCAAAGCATGTTATGACAATCTTTTGGCCATTCAACCAAACAATGGTATTGTCTCATTATAAACTCTTCATTACCCTCTTTGAAAGAAAGAAGAGTAGTCACCTCATAAAATGTCACATCTTCAAATATTTGTATAAAGCTCTATCAGTTGTCCTGTAGTCTACAGACTATAACCTTTTCTAATTTTCATTAATAAATATCAAGGAACAAAAGGACATGGACTGAACTTGCAAACTGGAGATGACCACATTTCCAGAGACTAAGAAGAGAACAAGGCAGAAGAGAAGCCCTCACTCTATTACTCAATTGCACACCTGAGATATGTCTCCCCATTACCTCCCTCCACAGATTTGGGAAAATTATGGTTGGTTTAAAAGATACTCCATTTTCAAAGGGTGCATGCTGTTCCTGGAATCTATGAAATTTGATCTTCAATCCTATTTACAATTAAGCAAGTCAAAAGCAATCATAAGATCGTAAGGTAAAATTTCAGATACAAATAATTTAAAATAAAATCAATTTAGTTCATTATAATCTATGGTTATTTAAAAATAAATATAGACTCATGCATATATGTACATGCACACACACAGACATACACACACACACACTTCTGTCTGGGTTAATTTCTCCTCTTTCCCATCTAAAGGCTGCACAGTAAATCTTCATACAACAATTTCAAGAACTATTTTTTGTTACTAAATTTTGCCAACAATCTGCTCAGCATTCTAGCAGATGTTTCTGTTTTCAAACCTCTGGGAACTCTGCTGGATCTGTTTTCTTTCCCCATGTTAAAAATAAAAGAAATGGCACAAATGTGGCCTAATACCCTAGAGATGCTTCTCCCCACTCCATACCCCTCAATCTTCCTATTCACGTGACCTTTATGATCCCTACTCAATTTTTTCTTTTCCATTAGAGAAGATGTTTCCAATTATAGTCCATTATGTTGCCAAGGATGACATCATTAAGATGTGTCTTTTAAAAGGAAACGCTACTGATGCTTACTTACTTGGGAGACCATCTGCAACAACTTAAGTCAACTAGTCTCTGGGACCTTATGAACTACCATATCACAGGAGAGAAATTTGCTTCTAATCAACAATAGGGGGGGGCCTCACAGCAGTGCTCCTTGTATTTTATCTAATAATTTATTTTAAAACACTTGTGACCCAACCTTACCTCAGTAACATCCATAACTTTGATGGCCGCCAGCTGACCGGTTTTAACATGTCGACCCTGAAAAACAAGAGAAAAATGAATTAGCACCAAAGCTTTTGCACAATCATCACTAAAAGAGAAACGGCTGAAGTTTCCAACAAATCATGTGTCTTTACACTTTTCTCATATTAACAAAAGTGATGATGAAATTGTCCCGTGTTCTCCAATATAACAACATGGCTCCTAATATGAATACACCACACTTAATAAACAAGAAAATTATCAGAACAAATGAGTTTTGATTAAGCATAAATTCTCTCTTTCTTTAATTTACGCATCATCTCTCAATCCAAGCAACTTAAATGTTTTCTTCAATATATCAGATTAGCCACCCTTTCCTTTTTAAAATTCTACATGAAATAAAAAGATTTAAAAAAAAAAAATCCCTTGGCTATTTATTCTCATTGTCAAAAATGGATAATAGAAGCTTTATCCCCTCAGTGTACTCCTATTATCCATGACATGATTTTGCAGGAGTTATAAGGAGAGTCATCTTTGAAGGTTTCTTGCAGTCTTAATGTAGGGAGATTCATGAATAATTTAGAACAAAGGGGAAAAGAATGGGGGGGAAGTAAATAGCTACATTAAAATTCCTGACCTAGGACCTAAAAATTTTTAATTTGTATTACTAGGTATTTCAAAGAAACGTGGTATCTTCCCTCACACAGATGAGGATTTAATTACTGTCAGCCTCCAAATGTGTCAGCCACTCTTTGTAATGCCCCGGTGGTCATTTCTCAGACCAGTAACAAAGAGCTATCTGAGCGCCATCTACTAAAGGACTTTATGGAAAATGGCTCTTCTGCTATCTATGTAAAATAGAAAGAACAGTCTCTATTTTCCAAGAACCTGCCTCTCCTGTAGGCTTATCTAGGAACAGCTGGGAACTTTAAAACTTCAAACCTGAGGAAAGCCATCTATTTTTTTCTGGAGAGCTAATGCAGGAACTCAAGTTACAACTTAGATAAAGTAACTCCATGAAAATTTTACATTACAATTTTGTCTCAATTATTTGTGGTGATGGTGGGATGGAAACCAGCAGATGACCAGCAGATATTATGCAACAATTTAACATATGGTAAACCAGGACAAATAAGAAACATAGGCCAACAAACCTCACTGGAAGTCTCACCTACCTGCAGACACAACATTCATTATCTCCACCACCTGCAACGTGGACTACCTTCCTAATCTTTGAAAGTGATGCCATGTGAGTGTGGGCATCATTCCCCACATCACACACATCTGCAACTCATTTGACCGCTCTGCTTCTAAGTGATATGGAGCTTCCCCACATCGGTCCATGTACCAGGGATCTGTCTTCCTGCTCTTTCCACTAACTCCCAGCTACCATTCCACAAGTATGCTTCAAGAATTGTTGGTTTCAACGCTTTTCCAGCGTGCCTAACCTCAAATGACCTGAATTACTACACCACATTATCACACTTTCTCTAATATCCCCACATAGCCCGGGAGAAGTCTGGTACTATTTAAGTACTTGCAAAAGGGTAACCTATAAATCCTTTTTTTTAAAAAAAAGTGTCCTGTATATATCTATACAGCACACAAAATTGTCTAAGAAATTATTTGACATTTATAGAAGCTACATCCAAGAGATACGCAGAGTTAGATACTACTACGGTCTTCTTATTGCCATTTTTTTACTCCTTTTCTGTCCAAGATTCATTATCATTTCATAGTGTGCTCCTGTAAATTGCTCATTTAAAATTTCTGGCTGTGTGTGGTACAGGCTCTATAACCTCAGCTTTGTTTTAGCTTTGTAACCCACAGCTCTGTGCTAAAGTTAAAAGGGAAATTTGAGACATCCTTCCTGTCTTGGGCGTAGGCAAGCTAAAGCTACTGAACAGTGGTTCAAGGCACCCACATCTCATCTTCTCTACTAAGTAACGGTGACTTGGGCAAGTCACAGTCCTATTTTGCCCCACTCTCCTATTAAAGGGGATAAATAGTGATGCCTACTTCATAAGATTGTTGTGAAAAATAACTGAAGTGCAAAAGAACAGTGCACATAGTCAGCAGTCAAGCTCAACCTCAGTAATACAATAAGGCTGAACCTTGCTTTCTTTCATTATAGGAAATGAATTTATTAGCAGCTTCTACAACTGTGACTGAAAACATAATCATGAAGGCAATTATGATTTTCTTGAACCCAAGAAGAAACCATAAAACTTAGAGGATGTAGTATTAAGTATTTCTTCCTGTACTTTCCATGTAAGAGACATAAGGATCATCTCTATAGCACCTGGTCAGTCCTCAAATCTGGATACATTCACCTGTTACTCTTCCCTTGGTGGATTTGCTTCCAAATTACTAAAACAAATTTCCTGCAAACAGAAGTCAAGTAATGAGAGAAAATGTCATGAGAGTAGCCCTGGCTTTCCCTCTTTTCATGAGGTTAGTTACTGCTATACGCTGGGAATGTGTTATCTAGTGGGAAAGGCATCTCTGAGTATTGGCTGTGGTAACATGTAAGATCCCTATGGATAAAGAAAATCTATGGGTCTATGAGGGGAAAAAAAAAAAAAAGCCTCCCTAGATATTTATATAGCAGTATCTTCCTTTAGAAAGGGGGAAAAAAAAAAAACTTAACATGAATGAAGTCATAAACAGCAATCCGAAAATGACTTGTGCTACCTTCTATGCCTGAATTCAAGACCATACGTAGGTACTCTCAAGACTGAGCAGTTTGATAGTGGCAAAAAAGCTGAGATTTGTGAATTCATTCAGAACTTGCTTTATATAGAGCATGAATTTCCTCAAGACCTAACACCCAATTCCTGACAGAACACAAACCATGAAAAAGAGTTAGTCGTCATTAACACATACTAGTCCCCTAAATGGGAGGTCTGGTAGCATAGTGGTTAAGACACTTGCCTGCTAACCAGACGGCTGGCGGTTCAAACCCACCAGCCACTCCTCGGAAGGAAGGTTGGGCAATCCTACTTCCGTAGTGATACTGCCTCGGAAACCCAAGGAGGGGTCGCTATGAGTCGGGTTTGACTCGACGGCACATAACAACAACAACAAGTCCCCTAAATTGGGAGCTCCGGTAGCGTAGTGCCTAAGGCACTTGACTGTTAACCAGAAGGCTGTCGGTTCAAACCCACCAGCCACTCCTCAGAAGGATGGTTGGGCAATCTACTTCCATAGATACTGCCTTGGAAACCCAAGGAGGGGATGCTATGAGTCGGGTCCAACTCAACGGCACATAACAAAAACAACAAGTTCCCTAAATTGGTCCATTTTAAATTTAAACCAGATGACTGTCTAAGAATTCTGCCTTCCTTCTTTCTAAGAAGCAAGGCAATGTACTGGAAGACTACCCCTCATTCCTCCTGTATCATTTGATCACCATACATCCACTTCCTTGGGAGCTATGTTTTCTAAGATTATTTCAGGGCCAATGAAGTTGCCTTAACTCCTTTCTAGGATAAGGCAGGTTCGGAATAAAATACAGAGTACATAAAGCATTGGACATGATGTTTAGCACATATTAGCCATTCAACTGAGCTTCCTCCTCTCCCACCTCCCAGAGTTCCATACTGATTCTTGCACCTTTGTCCCCAATTTAGCTTGCAACTACCTCAAATCTTATTCAGTTTGGACTCATTTCTAATTTTCAAAAGGCCAATATGGGAGGAGGCAATGGGGCGAGGGGGTGTTAAAAGTAATATACTTCCTTAATTATTTAATTTTTTTTAACAAAGCACACCTTCAACTTTGAAACTAACAGAAATAACAATCTATTTGGTGAGAATGGCCATCTCTGAGGTAAAATAACCAAAATGGCCAGCAAAGTTACCCAAGGTGAAAAACTAAAGTAGGGACTAAATGTATTGGGGATTTAAATATGCATGTAATGGTGTACTGAAGCAGGCTACATCAAGAGTTGTAAAAAGGACTATTTACAATAGCCAAAAGATGGAAACAACCTAGGTGTCCATCAGCTGAGGAATGGAAAACCAAACTATGGTACATACACACAATGGAATACTATGCAACCCTAAAGAATAATGTAGAATCTGCAAAACACCACATAACGTGGATGAACTTGGAGGACACTATGCTAAGTAAAATAAGTCAAGCACTAAAGGACAAATATTGTATTAGTCTGTATTGTAAAAGTCAAGGAAATGTTTATCTATGGAAGGAAATTCTCTTTGTTGGTTACCAGGGTTGGGAGGGGAAGGTAGGGAACACTATTAGATAGATAGAGGTAAGTATTGATTTGGGTGAAGAGAAGGGCAATGTACCAAATGTAAGTGATCAATATGGTGGCACTGAGGAAGAGAAAGACACAGAGAGGTAAAATGGGAGGTACAGATAACAAAGATGAACCCCTCTGCACATCCAGTACTGCGTGGTCAGTGAAGGCAAACATGGGTATACAGGTGGATAGATGGGCGGACAGGCTGAACTAGCAGGTATGTCTATGAAGCAAGGAATGTACCCAAGAACATGTATAGGGTTGGCATACAATGGTCCTATAAGTCTATGTGTATGATCCGAGTTCCCAGGGGTATAGTAGAGCTGACAAGAGGCAGGGTGGTAGTCACTTCTTGGTCACAGCCAGCTACCCAGAGGGACCAAGTAGTTGAACCTGTGGGCTCAGAACCATAGTCTCAGGAGACATCAAGCTCAACTGGCATAACATACTACACAACATTGTTCCACCTCCTACTTTGGCAAGTAGCAACTGGGATCTTAAAAGCTTGCAAGCTGCCATTTAGATGCAACGATGGGTCTCTCTGGGTCCAGAGCAAAGAATGAAGAAAACCAAAAATTCATGGAAACAATTAGTCCTAGCGACTGGTACACCACTTGGAAGGGGATCTATGTAGGAGATCCTTGATAGAGAGGGAGAACAATGTGGAACAAAACTCAAAATCATTTGGAGGAAAAAAGTGTGTGTGGGGGGGGACCAGGTTTGCTGGTCCCATAGAGCCTGGTGGAACCACTGAGACTATGGCCCCTAGCTGCCCTTCAGGTCTGGAATTGAA